ATATTTAAGCTGTTTAGCATGATAAAGTTTAATTTATAATTTTAGTCGGTAATAAATAAACAACCAAAACCCCAAGATGGTCGCTACATAATTGAGCTGCTAACTTGAACAAGTCAACTCAGCACTAGCCTCGTGAGACAAAATATCACAGAAATATCTACAGAAAACCATATTTGGTATGGGCTAAAATGAATTAAATAGATAACTTTCTGTTAAAAGCATATCCTTTGTCCAATGATAAAAATAAAACACACTAGCACCAAAAGAAGAAAAAAAAAAAAGACCAAGAAAAATTGCAGAAATTATAAATCTGGATAGCACATTCTCAGATAATGGCGTTCACCATGTGTGGCTGCTGCAGAGATGTGGGATGGGGCGCTTTCTTAGGCAAAAGACTAACAAAGATAGCGAGCAGCTAGCTACCAGTGTCAGTGTTGCCAGATTGGGCACTGCCCAATCGGGCGGTTTTCATTTTCATTTTTAGGGTAGAAATTGCTTTGGGAGGGTGGAGATAATCTGGGCTGGTTCGGAGCCAGATCTGCGTTTTTTGAGTTAACCTATTAAAACACATGTCCACCGATCATTCATCATTACTGGTTCATAGCAAAGCCTCTCTACTAATCCCAGACATCAAACTCATTTCAGGAAGATGCTTATCGAACACCCCCAAAGGCAACTGACCTCAACTGACAACTGACCCGTACCCCATACATACACACTTCATTATTCTTTAGTATATTCTTCTGCAAAAAGAGTCTTATATATTCATTTTTTACTGGAGGTTTCAACCTATTTCACAGGATGCACAGCTTTGAGTGATAACAAGGTGCATGTCAGTCGCCTGTCACTATTGTATTGCCTGCATGTTCTCACTTGCATTAAAAAAACACCAGCTCGCATAGTCTAAAATCTGGGGTAATGTATCCGAATCACGGGCATCCGTGACAATTGATGATGATCGATCAACAGCTGGAGAAAGAGGCAGTAATAGCAAGATATGGTTGGATTTGTTTGCTATTTTGTGATATCAGAGCTTTAAGATATTCTGGGAGGCTTTGCTCAAAACTTTACAAAGATCCAGTTTAAAACCACTGTGTCTATGATTGTCACAACACATTCATTCTGTTTACCATTGCTCCAGTAATTCTATATTTGACTATAATCAACCTACAACCAAAAATAGCATTTTCAAAACAGTCAGATCTGGTGATATATGTTCCCTTAAAACCTCTATATCCAGTTATCTTACTTCTCTGTTTGTCTTTACCCACAGATGGATGATGCTTTTCAATTTGGGCTACAGCCTCCCAAAAAAGAACCACAAAAAGGAAAAGTTACACAAATTTAGAAAACACCTTAAACACTATTATAAAACCCAGAAAATATTAAGATGCATGTGTGCAAAGTACATGTCATAAAAAAAAACTATTTTTGTTAAACTTTGTGAGGTAGGCTGTGCCTATATGTCCTGTCACACAACTGATTGTGGGCAGCTGTATGACTATTACAGATTCGAACATCGGGATGCTAAATGGGCTATTGATAGAAACTAGGGATGGGACGGTTTATGAAAACCGTCCGAACCGTTCGGTTCGACTGTCTCAGTCCGGTTCGCGTGTGTTGCGTTCGGTTCATGCGCTGCTCTTTTTTCTCAGTGGCGAAGCAATTACACTCCAGAGCAGAAGGTTGCGGTACTGCGACCAAAGCCAACCACCAGTAGTAAACAAGAAGAAGAAGAAGCGAAGCAGCGTAGCCGGGTGTAGCAGAAAAAATCAGTAGTTAAATTGTGTGGGTATGGCAAGTGGGAAAGAACAGGAGTTGGAAGACGCGCCAGCAGCACGTTATAGGTCTGCTAACAGCAATATGACCAACATGTCATGCTGACCCCGAAATCCCTCATACTCTGTCAGTGCTCCGCCCCGCTGCGCTCCAGACCACCTGCACAAAGCAAAGCATACAGCCTCCACTGAGGCTCCCGTCCGCTCTGCTCTGAGTTCCTTGGAGATCGTAGAGGGCATGCGCAAGATGATTAAATTCAAAGCAGCAAAACACGCGGAAATGATCCAAGGTTTCCGCGGATCATTAAAAATAATTTACAATCCATAAATTTTTTGGGATTTTTTTTCATTCATTTCATAAATTTTTATGGGATTTCGGTGTAACAATCAACATATACCGAACTGAAAACCGTGACCACGAAACCGTGAATCGAACCGAACCGTGGATTTTGTGAACCGTTCCACCCCTAATAGAAACCATTGTTGTGATTTAATGTTCACTGCCCATCCAGGGTGGATTCCACATTAATGTTGTGGATTTATATTCTATTTAATTCCCAGCCAGCTGGGAATTTATATTTCTGATACTTTAAGATGTATATTACCCTACCCGGTAGGGGTGGTAAATATCTCACTTAATCAGATATTGCTGATGAAGATTCATTCCGTAAAAGTAAAAAAAAAATCCACTGGACTTGGTTTCCAAAATTTGAAGACGTTTTGCCACCTCTCCAGGAAGCTTTCTCAATTCAAAAGTCTGGATCCGCATTGAGTTTGAGACTTTATATAGAAAAGGCCTGCCCGGCAGCTGCAGCTCCATCCATCTAACGTAGCAGTGCACGTGACTGTGCTTTGCTTTTTAACTCCAGCCTCATTGGTTGTTCTGCCCTAAGTTCCTCCTTCTCTCTTTCTGTTTGTTTGTTTTCTAATCCGTGTGCATGTGTGCTTGGAGTAGGTAAGGGTTGTTTTGTTTTGTTTTTTTCAGTATGAGTAATTGGATTCTGTGATCTCTTTTAGAGCTCACAAATGATGCCTCATGGATTTTAATATAGTTTGCCTGATTAACAAGTTTGTTTGGTTGACTGTTATCTCCAGTTCACATGTATTTTGTAAGAAATGTGTTTGCAATGTTACGATAGAATTAATTTATTTTGAATAATCGATTAATTGGATAGCCTAAGGTTCTTTAAATAAGATTATATTTGACCTTAAACCAGGTGAAACTAAAACGTTTCCTCTTGAGTAGTTCTGGTTCGAGAATATTGACAGACAAAAATATATATTTTTTATCTTATATGCAAAATGTTTATATATATATATATATATATATATA